ACAGCTGTTATCATATCATAACAGAAACGTAACCTCTTTATAATCACATTGTATTTTCCAATGTAATTGAAACGTCTATGGCACAAATATATTAACTATTGACTGCCTTATCAACTTGTTATTACTAATGTGGATTTTATATAGCATTCAACTGTTATCTTGGTACAAATAATAAATAAATTATTATCAATTAATCTGAGAAGGTCGGGTATATAAAAGGATTACAAATTCAACTATATAATTAGAAAGTTTCGAACCTATTAAATTTTCATATTATACTCTAGAGCTTAGGATTTCTTAAAGAAATTAATTATGATGCTGACATTTAATTTATACGAATTTATTATACTTTATATGAATTTTTTTAAACTCGTTTTAAGCCGGACATTGCTATTGTTATGTGTAGCATTTTTGTTGGTGTTGTCTCGAACTCTATACGTTAGAACATATGTATATACTAATATCATTTAGCTGTCAATTTTATATAAAAAGGTTATTGCGTGCTTCCGAACTGCAGCAAGTCATGTGACAGCCATAATTACATACGGATATGAATACAATTTTGTTTGGTGCTTACATTAGCTCACCCAAACAGTTTCTTATCAACATAGTTCGAGCAACATATAATTGAAATGTCGTTCCTTTTGAATAAGAACCAGAATCGTAGAGCAACAGTGCCGAAATGAGTAAATATAATAATCGTATTTCAATATATTGCAAACAAAGTAAATTCGAATGACGAACATTTAAAATAAGAACGCAAAACCAGATTTTTCAGCATATGTCATGAGCCACTGACATTTTTAAAGCTTTCTCGGAAACTTAAACAGATGTAAAAATAAACTCAAATGAATTTCGTTGTTTTCGTTTTTTCCTTTAATAATTGAGTTTGTTTGGCTTAACAGTAAAAAACAAACATGAAAGCATATTTTTGAGCTAATTTAAGTCTCTGCTATTCACAAGAGCAACTTGTATTGAAAATAGAAAAAATTATTTTTATTTGCTCTATTGGTACCATTTTTAAGTAACGTAAAAATAAAAGTTAATTTTCTAGTAACTTGTTCAGTTTTAGTTTAAATCGTAAAATAGCGTAAATTGAAAAGCTTTTGCTGTTACTACAAATGCCTAAAATCCATGATTCATAGTGACAAATGTTGCTTAAAGAATCATACTTGCTTACTAATATATCAACAAAGCAAAGCAACAACAATGCAGACACGTGAATTTCTTCCATCGTCATTAACATCCGAGTTGATTTTTGTTTACAATTTTATTTCACGTTGCATATTGTTTCATATTAGACTGTGATAACAAATAATTTAGCGATGCTAATTAATAAATAAATACGAAAACTGTTAAGTTTTGAAATTCTTATTCGAAAACCAAATAAACAATGTGAGCTATTTCCTATTTGTGCAGCTGTTGACATATTTTTTCTCCATGGTTAATATATCTTTTCTTTACATTCTCTATTTTAATTTCAATGTTATCTATAGGCAAAGCGTGGGTGTTGCTGTCTATGTTTTTTTAATATATACATATTTTTTTTTTGGTCTATGTGTCTCTAATTTTGAATGTGTGTCTCAAAGAAAAACTTGCGTAAAAAATGCTTTTGATCTGCTTGCTATTCTTTCCCCATCGGTTCAACAATCTATGGAATCACAGTTCTATATATATCTATATATCTAGATATTAGTGAACTTGATTTTGAGGATGATATCCAATGTTGCTAAAAGTTTTTCGGGTGCTGTTGCCCTCAAGATACATATCTATATCTTAGCCCCATTGATTTAAAGTCAATCAAAGCCGAACTTATTGTCAGGTGTGGTGAGTCAACAGGGCTAATGGCAAATAACTGTAACTGTATCTGTATCTGAGCACAAAATTGTTTACTAATTGCCTGTGAAAATGACCTGACGTCATTTGGATACTATTGAACTGCGACAGCCGCGCCCAGGTGCCTGCCCCATCACTCACTCACATTTGCACTCACCTGCCATTTGCATAGTGTGCACGTGAGTTGCTTTTAACGGATCGTCGTTTTCAGATTTCCCACCCGCTGATAATTTTCGCAATTTGTTATTTTTCACAAAACGCAAATTTATTATTATATTTATATCAAAACAATGAACTCGGCATTAGAATGCATACGAATTTCCTATATGTGAGTTCCCTTATTATAGGCTCATCATTAATTACAGTTATTTATCTAATTTACATTGTGTTTTAATTATTATCTGTAGAGCTGTTTTCCCCTTTCATTCAATCATGAGGCGCAATATATTGTTGTCATTTAACTCATTTTAAACACGCTGTCTAGTCAATTGCATTTCCATTTACCCAATTCGATCTGTGAAAGACGTTGGGTTCAGGTAGATGGAACACTGGTTCTGTTCCATTCATTGCCCATAACGCTTATCAATACTTTAATAAAAATGATTAAAAAATGATTAAAACATAAAAATTTATAAGCCTTATCAACCGAAAACGGCAAAACGAAATCCAAATCCAAAAATTTTATAACATGTACACGTTGTACGTGATTCTGTATCAGTTCAGAAAAGTTGATTTTTTTCAATTTAAATACCATACGAAATTGCTGTTGTTTAAAGTGTGGGCTATACGTATATATTACATATATAAGTATGTATATAAAAGTATATATGTATCACAAAGCTGGGGATTTTTTTGGTTTCGGAAACAACATTCTACCTAATTGCATACTGGAATTCCAGTCGGCAGATTCGATTAGTATTTGCGTAATTTATTTATCTGTTTTTGAGAGATGGGAAAAATGCGCAGTGCATTTTTTGTAAAGGGAAAAACCTTAAGTTACAGAGAAAATTCTTATTTAGTTTGATATGTGATTTAGTTTGATTTATAATATGTCGGATGATATTTGTTTGTATGTCTGGTCAACTCATGTAGTTATGAATTAATTTGTCTTTTCCATAATATTCCCAAAGGGCACGTTCCAATGTCTCGCCGAAATTTCAGCTGAGTTCAGCGATGTTTTCAACTTGGACCTTAGTGTAACACGCTATTGCTTTATATTATTCAGTTTCAGACAGCATGTAGCGCTCCATGGCTAACAATTGCTGTTGGTTATCAGAAAATTTAGATTTGACTAACTCATCTAATATTATTACATGGCTTTAGAATTGTGTGAGCGGAAGTAAATCATTTTTATTTTTTAACTATAAAAAAAAAATAATATTTATGTAAAATCATTTCTATTTGCTTCAGTTAAAGTCGCACAAATCTACTCTTCATTTCATTCGCTTGCATTGCCCTTATTTATCGGAATTATCATTAATCTCTATTTGCACTAACGGCATAATTGTCCAAACTATTGTCAGGCATTCGTTGAGCTTGTCAAACTGTACACATGCCGGCGAAAACTTACCGAAAGAATAAAACAAAAACAAACACGAGCTCCCGCTGATGGTCGTCAGCAGCTTCCAGCAGACACTTTGAACTTGACTCGTCCTTCCTGGAGGCTGGGTATGTAGTCCAAGAGAAAGTGTACGTAATTTTATTAAAATATACGAAGAGGCACACAGCACAGCGCAGACAAAATTACAGTTTGCTTTTTGTATTTTCTCTTATTTTTAAAAAAAACAGTTCGCTGCCGATTGGAGGAGTACACAAGCAGGCAGAGACACACACGCAGAGTTAGTATGTAGTGGACATGGACATGGACGAAGTCTGTTCTGGCTGCTGGTCTTTCAGCGCGTCGCCCGTTTAGTGACCGCGCGCGACGAATTCGCTAAAACAACTGATATCGTTGATATGGCGGGCGTCTGTTGTTGGGTAAGTAGCTCAACAGAATATTACGGTGAGGCGACAGCGCACAGTGTTACGAGCTATGCCAGTTGGCAGTCAAAAAGTATGTAGCTTATCTATAATAATATTTGACTGAGCTGGAAATAGTTTAAAGCAAACAAAATAAGAATGTGTGAAAAAGCTTTTGTTTTATATATTTAGTAGATATGCATTTATTTTTAATTTCTTCTGTATTTATTAGAAGCGAACCACTGCTCTCGACAGCGCCACACTCAACGACAGAGCCGTGATGCTGCCTGCGTCAAAGCGGGAACGTTTATTTTTGTTAAACTTTGTTGTTATTTAATCTCATTGCTGGGTTTTAACTAATCGAATAACAAAAATGTAGATTGAAAAGAGCGCATGACGTCAAATGTGGAATGAGACAGGAATTATAGGTTCGATATTTTCGTCGCACAGGATGTGCGAATGTGAGTAGGCTTGAATGACTGAACCTAACAAGAAGGTCAGTGTGCGTGTGTGTGAGTGTTGGTATGTGTGCAGGGATGCTGTGGGAAACGTTTTGGTCTTGAGTGTCCTTGGCAAAGGACGCTCTCATATTTCGTTAAAGCTTACGCAAGAATCGTAAGCTTCGCACGTAATTGTAGAGCAGTTGCGAAATTTTTGACGAGACAAGGATAAAAGGCACCAGTTTAGAAATATTATTATTATTGAGAGAATTTATGTGTTTAGACTCCCACATTAGGGTTTTATGAAATTAATACTTTTGAATTCAACCCATTTTCATATAAGGACTCAATTTTACGTCATGGCGTCTTATATCAGCTGTGCGATTCAGAAATCCAATTTGAGAAACACTTGTATATTAGCTATTAGGAATAGGTAGGCGTGGAGGATATTAAACCTCATAGAACATGGCGACAAACAATTTTTCAATAACTATCCCAGTGAGTTTAGCTTTGCAGGGTCTATTGCGTTACCATCTCGAACCCTTTTAAGGTATTTTAACAAGTTTTGTTACCAGGTAAATATAGCATAAAATTTATTGGTTCGTATTACATTAAAAGCAATTTTAGCAACATTTGTTTGGTGTCCTTACATAATGTGCATTATGTATTCAGTATATTTGTGTACATATTTAATCTGTTTACACATTACAATCTAATTGTTAAAATAATTGAAACGGTAGTTCTTTGTTGTTGTTTGTTGTTGTAATAATTGTTGTCGTTAGTGTAGCTTAAATTAATTACAAGTTCCTACGTTTAGAAAACTGGTCTCATTTTTGTGATTACAACAATCACGTTTTTGGTTAACATGTCATTGGCGCTCATTCCTTACTTCTACGCATACAATAGTCGTAACTTAGTTAAAGCCTTAATTGTTTTTGTTAACGCCTGTGATTTACTGCGCCGTGGTTGCGCTGGCATCCGTAGGTTCGTCGGAGAAACCACAGAACTTCCACTTCGACTGTTCAGACTTGAAAAGATTTGTATATCTTGTGAGTATATTTAGTAGGTCATCGTTGCTCTTTAATTCAAGGGACTTGAGCAACATTCCACGTAAATAGCTGGAAATGCTGTCGATGTCCACGCCATGGGGATGCAGTACCAAATAAGCGGAAGTCAACGCTATTATCTTAGCTTCAAAAAGTGCCAGCGACATTAACTCACTCTGCAAAAGAGAAAAATAAGTTAAATTCAGTCTGCATATATCAGATGTATACATCGCATCAGGATCTACCTTTGGAGTAGGCAATGGTTCGATGTTTTCTTGCACTACGGTTTCCACTTTATCAGACTTTAGACTTTCATCTGTTTTGGGCAATCGATTGGCTTCATCAGTAGTTTTTATTGGCTCAGAAGCTGCCTCCAGTTTCTCATCGTCCTCGATCTCATGAATTTCGACAACACCGCTTTGATGCTCGATAATGCGTACATCATCGTCCACTTTATCAATATCTATTATTTCTAATTCTATGGCATTTTCTTTCTTTGCAGCTGCTCTGAGATCATCCGCATTTCTACTGCACGAATCACCGCTGCTGTATTCGGGATTTGAAGCAACCGAAGCACTGGTGCTATATGCTTCCCTGTCTTTTAGCTTATCCGCAGTCTCCTTTATTTTTGTCTTAAGTAGCAGCTGCTTTACGCCTGCCTCCTTGAGATTCCTTTCCAGCTGCTCAATGGTTTTGCAGTCTTTTTGCTCGCGCAACTTCGTTTGCAACAGCTGTGTTTGCATGTTACGTATTGTTTCTTGTAACACCTTGATTTGCTTTTCGCGCTGCACACAGTCGCTGCGCTCCACAGACATCTCATTACGAATGGCCTCTAATTGACAACGTAGTGAGTCATTCTCATCCTAAAATGGAAATTAAATAATCCGTAATTCAATTAATGAATACAAATTGATTCAATCAATCCCGCTTACCTTTAGTCCATCGCTATCGTAGCGAGTACGTTTGCTGCGCCTCTCGTAGTCGCGCTCGTCATCTGAGATTTCCATTTCATCATCGTCGATGTGGACTGTGCGCAGTTCCTGCATGGCATTTCAAAATGTGTGACTTTATCATTAAATAGGTCATAAAATACAGTTGTAACATATTTTGTTGCATAACCAGTGTTTACGATGGTAATTTCTATAGCCTAGGTATTATAATTTGTTTGTATATTGAAAATGCATCATACAATTCTCATTTGGCTCTTCGTTTCTGTTTCGGTCCGCTTACTTACCTCGCCACATTCAAAAAGTTCTGTTAATTTTAATTGTTTTCATTATGTATTTATATACTTATTATTGGCATGTAACATGTTAAATGTTGCACAATGAGTTTTATCATAAGATGTTTAGGTTTTACTGTTTACCAACGCAAACGCACAGCCAATCAAACTCAGTAAGTGCCTTAGAAACTTGCAGAATTATAGCTATTTAGGAATTATTTGTGTTTTAAATTATTGGAAAACTAAATATATATATCACACAAGTTCTTTGGCATTCGGCTACTAGTTACTTTTAGATTTAATTAGAAATCGAAAGCTTATCGAAAAAAATCGTTATGCAAATGGTTAATTTATCATTGATAAATAAAAAAATATTGCTATCAATTGTGCCAAATGGAAATATTTTAAAATATAATGTTTAAGTATGAAAAGCAGATGAGAAAGCTTTGAAAAAGGGAAACTGTTCCAAAAAATCAAAATAAACCAGAAAATTGTAAGTATATATACATATTTTGTAGAATAGTTTCCCTTGATTGCAATTTCAATTATTTACAAAAATAATATGATTCTTAAAATTAATGATAAATATATAAAGAGGCAAATAAAGACAAAGCAATAAACATGACGTCAATAAGAAACTGAGTTTTAATTATCAACATATTTTAAAGGAAGTTAGAGAGAGAGAGATATGAAAAATATTATTAACAAATTAAAATGTCAAGAATTTGGATAGTCAAACGATCTAATTATCAACACATTAATTAAGCTGAACAATGCAAACAATATCACATGAATGAAAAATTTCAAGTTGGAAAGCAATATGTACAGAAACCAACATGCAGAACAGATACAGATACAGATACGAGAGGGTGATAACATAGGTACTAATTGATATTTTACGACTAGCAATACTGAGAGAACAATAAGAACAGGCACGAGTACCACATGTAGTATGTGTTTAAAACGATATCTTCATCAGCTGAACTTGCCATAATACATTCTTTGAACAATTTTGTACGTACCGTTGCTAATTTCTTCCATTGGTCGATGTTTTTTCTTTGGGCTTTCGTGAAATGGTCCCAAACCTTCTTGTGACTAGCGGCATTGAACACTTTTTCAATCTGAGTGACTGAACAATAATGCAATAATATATAATAATATTAAGGGAGGACAGAGGGTAGATATTTCTTTTTTTTTTTTTTTCTTTTTGGGCTTTGTTTGGTTTGATTTTTCACTGTTTAACTAGTCTGTGGTTTCTAATAAATCAATGGAAAATAATAAGTAGAATAAAGAGTCCCTCGCATAACATAATATTTTGTATAGTTTATATAGTACAGTCTAAAAATATTGTACAACAGCTTGTTACCTACATATGTTTATGTATATATTTATATATATATATTCAAAGACTTCAATTGCAGTTAGTTGTTAGTTGTTTTCTACAGACAGCCAGAAAGGCGGTTGGTGTCTGGTCCGAGGGCTTTGTCGTATATGTCTGTTTGGTTTACAAACCTTTGGCCTGGGCTTACACTTTACATATATCTATTCATATGTTAAGTCTTCAGACTTGGCGTACAGTCAGATACAGTAGAACTAGCTACTACACAGTGGCTTAAAAAAACAATGCTGCGATCAAAATGTAATTACTATGGCAGTCGTTGCACTTACTAATAAAGAAACAAATGTTAAGTAATGACGAACTAAGCTTTAAAAGATTTCGCTTTTCTCAGCTATAACAAATCAAATAATGCAAAACTGTTTACGCGTGTCATTAAATTCGATTCAGTTTGAAGTCGTCAAATTAACGACAGAAACTGCTCATGTTTTGGATCGAGTCATAAAAAATCTTAATTTAATCGCATCGAGTTTCGGCCACTGTGCAGCACTGATGTGACTGAACTTTTACCTGCAGCTGCTGCTTCTTCTTTTGCTCCTTCGCCTTGTATTTGGTATTGTACTTTGAGAGCAAATTTTAGAAAGTGAAATCTTGTATGTGGAATCGGTTTTATTTTCGCTTTTGAGAGAACGATGACTAGATTGCTAGAGAGTGTGTGTGTAAGCGTGTGTGTTCTGTTTCAGGTGTGTATTGTATTCGATTGATTGTTCATGATACAGACGCTAGACGCTAACCGGGGCGCAACAAAAACAGAAAAAAATGTGAAAGGAGCGCACCTAAAACCCATCTAAAGCTACATACTAGACCTGCAAAATGTGCTACTTACATTGTGTTGACATGGTGCCCATTTGTTTGCGATAACATTCACGCGCTTTACGCAGATCCTCCTCGAGCTGCTGCTTATCCGTATGCAGCCGCCGCACATGCGCATGTGTGCTTTGGATCATGGAGTAAAAGACGTTTGCATTGCGCTTGGTGCAGTCGCCACGTTCCAGCCAGGCGGTAATAGTTTGTATGGCCTTCACAAACGTTTCGTTATTGCGCAGATGCTCTGCCACTGCGGTAGCCTCATGATCCGTATAATGTGGTATTGGGGGCGGCGATTGTGAACGCATGCGATCCAGCGACATGCGTTCTCGATGACGCTGCTCCCTCTGTAATTGACGCTGCTTACATTCGTAGTCGTATTGATCATCCCGCGCCTGAGCGTAGTCCACATGCAGACGCCCGAAATTCGGGGGCTCATTTTGGTTGGAGATGCGTAGTCGGTAGCCCGACAAATAAATGGCACGATCTATGGCTGCCTCATGTCGGTAGCGTATATGGCAAAAGTTCTTCTTAGACATGCGTAGTGTGGTGATCTCGCCACACGACTCAAATATCTCTCGAATAACGTCTTCTGTAATGTTCTCTGGCAGGCCACCCACAAACACAGTGCGACAGCCCGGCGGACGTTCGCGTATAGTAGGTGGCGGTGCGTTTGGGTTGGGTGGAAACAGTATGCAGTTCTTGGTCTTGATCACCTCTTTTAAGCCGGCAGAATTGCTTGTCCCATCTGCAGGACAAATTACAAAATACATTAGATTATTAACGAAATAGATTATAATTTAATACTTGCCGGCTGCCACAGTACCATCCATTCCCGGTCCAGCCCCATCAGACGGCATTCCACCAACTGTTGTTGCGGCCACATAGCCAGCTGCATAGTTATGCTGCATTTGTTGCATTGCCGCCATCATCGCGGAGTGATCGAGCAGCATTTGGGCATTAGGATTCGAGGCATTAGCTGATGCAGATGTTGTGCCGCTTGGCGTAGTCGCTGCTACAGCAGCTGCAGCATTCTGTGCGGTAGGAAAGTACAAGTAGCCGGGCGGTGTGTGCATCAGACCATTCAAATAGAGTTGCTGGGCTTCAGGCAGCGATAGAGCTGAGCCTGGTAATTTATCCACCGATTTTACAGCCGCCATGGCATCAGTGTTTTCCGCGTCGTTGTCATTTTCCAAATCCATAGGAGCACTGCCCTGTGCGTTGTGCTGCTTCAATGTGCTGCTTTTTGTTTTGTTATTTGTTGGGCTGGTTGTTTGTGCCGCAGCGCCACTACTATTTGGTGCTGTGGGCGCGGCCACGCCAACCGTGCCGGATGTAATGGCAGCAGCCAATTGATTAATAAAATTGGGATGATTTGGCAAACTGACGCCATTTGGCAGGCTCCCAAAAACTGGCACTATAACCGGCAGTAAAACAGACCGATATGAAGAAAGAAAAAAAATACAAATAAAAATCAGCTGTTTACCAGACACGAAGAAAACAGTAAAGCAACGACGCAATATGTACGAACACAAAGCGTAACGTGATAGGTGGCTCGGTATTTTTTTCTATTATGCGTTCTGATTTGTGGTCGGGTCTCTATTTTTGATATAGCAGATGCTCCTGACCGGAGTTTGAACAAACCATTAAAATGTAAGTAGCTGTGTATAAATTTATGGTAAACTGCATACGAAAGCATTGACTTACACATGTTATCAGCCAAATTTGCATAATTAAACGCCATTCGAAAATTGTTTCATATGAACTACACGATAAATACCATTTTCAGTATTAGAGTAACGATTTAGTTACGCTGTGCTATAGTTGGGCACGATTTTCAAGCAGGTTGCGTTGTAAAAGCATACGTAGTGCGTTTACAATCATTTAAGACTATTTTAAGCAGTTGATTTGTGTTATGAAAATAGTTTAACTAAATTTTGACTCCGGCTGTGCCGTGTAGAGGTGTAGAAGTTTTCTTACATTGATACACAGGGCTGCAGTAAATAGCTCCATAACAAAAATGTGGTATTTTTTAGGCATTCCAATGCGACATCGCTGCACATGTGTACACACTGTTCATGATTCATCAGCTGTCGTTAGTTCGAGAAAGTTTAGATTAAAAACAACAGGGAAGCACAACGCAGTTTACAATAAACTTTGGAAATCTTTGAGTAAATTGTTAAAAAAACTATTCAACATGTCGATCAATACGGCACACGCAAATAATGGTGTGCTCATACATGCAGGAGAGTAGTAAGTATAATTAGAGCTGCAAGCTTTTGTTGGCACTACCAGCGAACTCTGACGTCATATAAAAGTATAATATATTTATATTGTTTTGCTAATTGCAAACATTACGTTCATCATTCCTACCGAAAAAAATCACATTGGATGTATAGTGTAGCTAATTCTTAAATATATAATAGTAAGCAATATGTAGTAATTTCGCGAATTCATTTGCCGGAAAACGGTGTTTGGCTTCGACTTTGTCATGCAATGGAAACCCCAACAGCTGTATACAATTAAAAACATATTCCTTTATAAAAGAATACCAATCGCTAATCCAAATTTTCTCCTCTTCTATAGTATTCTGCTGCACAGCGACAGCGTCTCAATGGAGTTCTCTGGCCAGGATAATGACCTATTCAGAGGCTCTAAGCAAGGACGAGTTTATTTGACATCTCATAGAATGATTTTCAACAGCAAGAAACCAAGCGATGTAATGCAATCGTTTAGCGCACCTTTTGTCGCTCTTTCGGATGTAAGTGTTACACGGTTTTGCCTTTGCAAATTAGGCACATCATAATCTAGGTCCTATTGCATTTTAGGTTGAAATTGAACAACCCGTTTTTGGAGCCAACTATATTAAGGGCAAGGTCCGTGCCCAGCCCAATGGCAATTATGTGGGCGAGGTTAAATTCAAGCTGTACTTCAAGTCAGGCGGAGCCATAGAGTACGGTCAAGCGTTGTTGCGGGCTGCCAAGACCGCTCAAAGCAACTTTCATCGTGGGGGTCTTGCTGGCGATGATCCGCCACCATATGCACCAGCCGGTGCCTGGCATGAGGCTCCACCACCGGCTTACCAGCCACCACCAGGTTATTATGGCTGGTTGCCACAACATGATGCCTTCAGTGGACCGGCACCCAATACTGTCTTTATAAGTGACAATCCTCCGCCGTATCCGGGCATTAGTAAGTTTTTTGCATCGAACTTTACCCTTCCCACACTCGGCTTTTGTTCTTGTACATAGGATGACATTTGTATTTTAATTGGCCAACAAATTGAATGCATATTTGTAGCACGCTTGCGCTTTTTCAAGCACTAACGCATCTTTGCACAATCCATTTCTTTCTATATCTTTAATAGCACCACCAAGCAACCAACCAGCACCACATCCTCCCCAGCAGCAGGAGCAGCAAACTGATCCCACTTGGTACGGTTTTTCAGCACCACCAAATCAACAGCCTCAACAACAGCCTGGCTATGGACCTCAAGCTGGTTGGGGTGGCGGCTATGCACAACCGCCGCCGTACGCAGCCTGTAGGCCAGACATGCCACCACAGGCGCCTTACAGTGGCCCGCCTCCCGTAGCTCCCTATGGAGGCTTTAATCCAAATATACCTGGTGGCTTTATGCAACCAAGTTTTATCCCGCCTCAGCAACCCGGCGGTCATCCTGGCTCGGCTCCACCACAGCAACCTAACGGTTACCCGGGCAGTGCTCCTCCACAGCAGCCTGGAGGAAACACTTCTGCAGGCATGTCTGCTGCCAATGCAGGAGGAAGTAGTGCTGCGGCTAATTTTATGGGCTTCAGCTTGCCACCTGGAAGTGAGTATTTTACATAGAATCTAATCATTCATTTTTACTGTTGTCTATACTAATTAATCACGCCTCACAGAATGAATTTGGTTTCATGTCTCAATGAGCCGTCTGTTAATATCAGCAAATCTTAAAAAATTAAAAATTGAATGGTTGGTCAAATCTTCATTACTTTTAACTTTAATTTATCAAATATACTCAAGAGAAACATAAATATTTGATTTGGAAGCAAAGACGAGCTGATATTTTGTGTAATCCTTACGATAGGTCCCTAGTTACATAATTATTTCTGTCCCCTCCCCTCACTCTAGTTTTTCGTAATTAATTTGTAAAAATCTAACAAGTTACTAAACTCAAAAACACCTAACCAATTATTTGGCATCTGAAATAATTTTTTAAATTTCTTTTCCTTACCTGATCCACAGTGTAAACTGCAAATTGGTGCAAAACTACTTTACAGCAAAGCAAACAAGTAAGATTTTGTAATGCTTTTATTCGTTTCGAACATCATATATAAATAACTAAAATTCAATTCCTTAAATTCTCCAACAAAAGCCGAGCCTATAGTTCCGCAATTTAAGCTTGTTTTTAGTAACTTGTATAACGAATTATTCTCTCTTTTTTATTTTTCCATGCAAACTTTGCAGGAACCAGCAGCACGCAATATTATTATTATCCCAATTGTTACCAAGTTGCAAGACCCTTCTGTTTTATACCAATTCCAGTTATATATCCATGAAAAGGATTGTAAGACATTCCTCTATTCGTATAAAATACATATTCTGTATGCCTTTCTAATATAAGAATCGAAATATTAACTTCCTAATAATCTACACAGATTCCAAAGAAGCCGAGGCCGCTGCTAGCGCTTATAATACACCATATAATCAAGGCGGATCCCGGGGACCAGGCCCCAACGATATGCCGCCATCTTATAATGTAAGTATCCGATATATGTATTTAATATCATTAATATTTAATACGATTTCTTGGCCTTACAGAACTTGCCGCCCAGCTACAGCGAAGCCTCGAAGAAGCAACAATAAATCAGCTTGTCAAAATTTAAAGGATATAATTTACAAAACAGACCAAAACAAAACGGCTCATTCCGATTAGTTTAACACAAACAAGTATCGTAGTTCTTAACTCAAATCTTTTGATTGAGGTCAGTTTTCGATATGTAAGATTGCATTGCTGACAATAATATTTCTTTGATTAAAGCAAAACTAATGCGGCAATGCGATAACCATTAATTGGCGTATAATATTTTTGCACGCTTTAATGTTGCAATATGTATTGAAAAATAATTAAATTATCATGTTAACTGTTGTCTGTATTATATATATTTTTTAGACGAAAATTTAATATTTCGTCAATATGAAGTCACAAGATTGCTGTTAAAATATGTTTTATTTTGTTTATTTCTGTTAATATAATTATTAACATTTACAAATATCTGCATAAACGAAAACTATTATTGTTATATTCAAGTAATAAAAATAAATATTTTTTAATGGAATAAATATATAAATATAATATTGGATTGAAATGAGTTGAAGTTGTTGTTGGGCGTTGACCTCCTTCCGTGCTGTTTGGTGACTTCATTGGCATCCGTTATTTTAGAAAACTGGGAAATATAAATACATTTAAGTTAAGGCCACAATTAATTGGCTACGCCGTCTTGGCTCATATTTTTAATGTCCTTTTGCTGTTGTCTTAGGTCACAGAATCCGGCAACATTAACGATGACTTGCACGATAGCCAGCGACAAGTGCGGGATATCGTTTAAGTTGCAAACTTCTGCGCCATATGTTTAATAATAGTGTTTTACCGATTCGTAAGTTCACTTTTAGTCATCTTAATTCTATTATTTATAATATTCCTGATAAGCGGAACAACGCGCCGTCGTTTTTGCTTTGAGTAGTATTAAAGAGCCCAAGCTGAGTTATGGGAAAAATATTTGTCTTTTTACTAAAGAAAGCATCGACAAATACGGCGGGATTTTCTGTTTATTTATAGTAAAGATATTTCCTTGTACTTCTTATATTCATTTTTTTCGTGGTGTACTTTAAGGTCACAGAATCCGGCAACATTAACGATGACTTGCACGATAGCCAGCGACAAGTGCGGGATATCGTTTAAGTTGCAAACTTCTGCGCCACAATCACGGCGTTTACAGGCTCCAAAAATCACTTCAAAATATCTTAATTCTACTCCAGTTAAAGAGCTTTATCAAACGGAACAACGCGCCGCTGTCTTTGCTTTGAACAGTGCAAAAAAGCCCATGCTGAATGGTTGGGAAAATATTTGTCTTTATACTATTTAAAGCATCGACGGATACGGCGGGATGTTCCGTTACCATATAATTCTAGCTATGCATTTCTTATTTGCAAGTCGCTTGCATGTATGCATGAGACGTATGTAGGTATAAAAGTATATAAGTATATAAGGATATGTATCTGTCTATCAACCCTTTGATCAGGTGATTTTGTATGTATTCAATTTTCAGGTGGATGTCCAGATATTAGATATATACGGATTTTCGAGGGATGTTTGGATACGTACATGTCTATATAACATTTTCAAGTAGATAGATTGGGGGAAAATGACTAAATAATAATTTGGTTTGTACATGTTTCAAGTGTTGACAACATGTCGATTTCTTACCTGGAAAAGCCGCATATTGATTACCTGTTTTACCGTTTGTTTTACCACAGTGGCATCTGAATCGTATCGACCACCTCATCTATAAATCTGCGAATAAACATAAGATAAACTGAAATTAGTATTATATTTTACATTTTGTATGTACATACATACATACATATGCATATAGTAATTAATCGAACAGCTGTCAAAGTCCTCAATATTAATTGAAAGTAAATTGCAAATGGGAAAACAATTTTAATATCAGATAATATACTAAATAATTAAAAGCACGTTATGTCAATCAATGCTCATAGAAAATGCAGACAATAAAATTTTGTCATA